CTAAGAGCAAGGGGGCATGAAGTTTAATCTTTCTGACAGATATAAATTACTGTAATTGAAAAATTGACTAGGAAATATCTTAATCTATAGACCTATTTAAACCTAAATTAAAGCAATCTGTCAGCTTGTTGGTGTAGTGTGTATAACTGAATTCCGGGAAAAATAACTCATTAAGGGAAAGTTGTTAAATAAAATAAGCAAGATTGATGATTTCTTTTCAATGCAGTATACCGTTTCCCTTTCATATTTTAGCATATTTAAACAGCATTTGATAGCACAATTATAACTATTATAAATGTCAGTGTAATATATTTAAGAATTTATTCATAGTGATTCAAATGCCTTTTTTTTTTTAACTTTTGAATTAGATCACAGAAAATTCTATACTATCCACTGCACTGGTTACTTGAGAAGCTGGCCTCCAAATATAGTTGGAATGGAAGAAGAAAGGGACAGTAAGAAAGACAGTCATTTTACTTGCCTTGTTGCCATCGGAAGATTACATCCATATATTGTCCCACAGAACAGCGGAGAGATCAAAGTCAAGCCAACTGAATTTATAACCCGGTTTGCAGTGAATGGAAAATTTGTCTACGTAGATCAAAGGTAAAACATTTACATGACATAATGATTAGAGTTCAATGGGATGTTTAAGGCTATTAAAAGATGTGGCTTAGTAGCACTACTGGATTTTTTTTAAGGCTTCAAAACGAGGAGTGAAAGTTTAAATGAAATAAGGATATGGATAAGTGAGTAAATTTGTTCAAGCAAAAATGTAAACCTGCATAATATTTTTTAACCAGTAGGACAGAAATTGGGCATGGTCTGTGGCCACAGCTGTATTGATGAATGGTGGTAAGAGCATACCCTGGGTCAAGTTTTTGGCCCTGTGCCTGGGCGTTCATTCTGCCCTGCAGCCCCAGTCTGGGCCAAGGGCAGTCAAAGGGAGCCACAGAGACCCCAGTGATACACATGGGTTACTCATCCCCCAGCCTCCTTTCCTCAGTCCTGACCACCTATGAGCCTACAGTATTCTGGGAGGGAGTACACTCACCAATTCTGACATTTATTTTCAATTTTAAAACCAGGGCAACAGCAATTTTAGGATATCTGCCTCAGGAACTTTTGGGAACTTCTTGTTATGAATATTTTCATCAAGATGACCATAGTAATTTGACTGACAAGCACAGAGCAGGTATGTATTGAAAGGGGTACTTTTTTCTTTGGAAACTTAATTATAGCTTCAACTCTTAATTTCTCATTCCTGTGAAATCCAAAGCTTGAATTAATCCTCAAAGGATTTATTTTTATAGTGGTAAAATAGAGTGTTATGTTGATTATTATCTTTTCTTGTTAAGTTCTACAGAGTAAGGAGAAAATATTTACAGATTCTTACAAATTCAGAGCAAAAGATGGCTCTTTCATAACTTTAAAAAGCCAGTGGTTTAGTTTCACAAATCCTTGGACCAAAGAACTGGAATATATTGTGTCCATCAACACTTTAGTTTTGTAAGTAATTTTCTTACGTTGTTAAGACCTTTATATTAATTTCAAATGAGTAGTCTTTGCTTCTCTTTTCTCACCTTGTTAAACCATTAAAACTGTATGTTCCTCTGGCCTTATATTACTTGAGATAAATATTTTGAGTAATTCATTTGTGCAAATTCATTGGTGTTAGTTCTCAGAATTAAGCTAAAAGTTTGCTTTATATTTTTGGAATTGATGTGTGACGATACACATGGAGTATTGACACCAGGGAAGCTATGGTGTCCAGACTCTTAACTGGGGCTCCATGGCCAACAACCCATGTAGCTGACCTCAGTTTCCAACCCCTCTGGAGAGTAAGCTCATACCGCATGTGATTCAGAATTCCTACCATAAATCACATTGTTAGACTTTCTGGCATAGCTAGTCCCCTCCCTAAATAAAGACACTCCTATAAAGCATGATTTTCCAAGGGCTTAAAGATTACCTTCCAACAGCTGAGAGCAAAGGCCAGACCTCTCTTTGGACAAGGTTGAATTCTTCACTACACAATATAAAACATAAGTGGTTCAAGAATTGACAAATCAAATATACAGAACCTAATGCAGTTGCTTTAACAATTTCCTTCACCTTAAAAAAAAAATCCTATGGTGTTTGTTAATTCTAGGGGGCACAGTGAGACTGGAAAAGCAACATTACTTCCTTGCAATTCTCAATCATCAGAAGGTAAGCTTAGTTTTAGATGACAGAAGACTTATTACTAATATGTATTATTATAAAAGAATTATTATTATTAAGTCATTATCTTTTGCTGTCTTGGTGAGGGAAGGAATTTCAAGGTGAAATTGAAAAAACTTCTATGGGTTGGGCTGTGGGAATCCCAGCTTCAGTTAGAAGTAAGAGGCTAAATCCAGAAGCAAACCATTATCCCAGATGAAACTGGGAGGGGTCACTCCATTTCTTCCTTAACGTTCTCATAGCACTTTGCTCACGTTTGTTACAATATTACATTGTTTGCAATTGTCCATTTGACTGGCTCTCCACTAACTGTGAGTTGTTCAGGAGCAGGGATGGTGTTTTACTCATCATCTGTCCCTACAGGATAACTCCATATACGTTGTGGCATTCAATAAATAATCTGTTGGACAAATTAATAAAAAGCATTAAAGGAGACTTTTTGCTTTATTTGTGTTAATTTTTTACCACAGGAGTGTATTAATATATTACTTGTATAATTAAAAATAAAAATATTAGGAAGTAGTATTTCTCTGGCTTCAGTATGGAGAATAAAGTGGGAAGAAACTGTCTGTAATGAACCTCAAATGACTTTCTAGACATTCGATTCATATCACCTCTTCATCAGTATCTTAGAACCACATGAGTTGTGTTTGTAACACAGGGATGAATGTTTTCTAAAATTTTAGGATGCAGCTTATCTATTTTTTAAAACTAGAAAATAGGAAATATATTTGAATTGAAAGCTACTGAATAATGTTATATGCTTTTAAAAAATTCCCAATTGGAGTTTTCTTTTTGTTATTATTTAGAACTCTCTAGACAGTCTTATAGTAGTGTGCCTGGAATGTCTTCTGGAATAGTACTTGGTGCTGGTAGTATTGGAACAGATATTGCAAATGAAGTTCTGGATTTACAAAGGTAATGTTTTATTGTTACAAATATTTCCACAAGTCTAGCTACTATTATGTTTACAAAACCAGTATACAAAAGATAGTTTTCCTATATACAAAAATAATCAGTTCATAAATATAATGGAAGATAAGATCCCATTTATAGTAACAACAAAAAACATAAAACGTTTGTAAAGTTTACAAAAACTATTCAAACCTATATTAAAAAAACCTTAAAATCCTACGTTATGACAAGGATAGCTTCAGTAAGTTTCCAGATATAGTTTGTTTTTTAATGGGAAGACTCAGTATTGTAAGAATGTCAGTGTTCCCTAAACTGACATATGAATTTAATGTAAATCCAGTCAAAATACTACCATGCATTTGGTTTTTTGGAATCTGACAAAATGTTACTAACCATACTAGAATATCTAAGAAAATTCTGAAAAACAGAAGTACTGAGGTAAGACTAACCCTATCAGATATTAAAACATGTTATAAGGCTACAGTCACTAAAACAGTTCAGTATAATCCACAAACAGAAAGATATATCAATGGAAAAGAGTGGCATTCAGAAATAGAATCAAATACATATGGAAATCTATTATATGGGAAAAGTGGCATTTTAAATCAGTGGAAGGAAATGGATTAACAGCAAATGGCATTATAATGACTATATAACCATTTGGAAAGAAAAGTAGATCTCAACCTTATTCTTTATTAAAGTAAATTCTGGATAAATAAAAGATTTCAACATAAAAAATGAAACTATGAAACTATTTCAAAGACATAGGTATGGATTTTTATAATCTCGATTCGAAAAGTCCTGTCTAAGCATCACACAGAATCCATAATTCATTAAGAAAAATATTGACAAATTTAATTGTATAAAAATTGAAAACTTAAGCATAACAATAGCCATTATAACAAAGTTAAAACATAAATTATAAACTGAGGAAAATGTATGTGATTCATATAATTAAAAGTACTAATTATCTTAATATATGATGAGTTTTACTAAGCAATTTTTTAAAAATTATTCAATAAGAAAAGTTGGACAGTGGACATGAACAGAAAACAAAATGGCCAAGAAACTTAAAAAATTGCTCAACCTCATTCATAATTAAAAACAAATACACAATAAAACAATAATGAGATACAGTTTTCACTTAATATTCAATGTTGGTGAGAGGTGAGAAAACAGGAACTCTTAAACTGTGGGAGTATAAATCAGTGCAACCACTTTTGAGGGCAATTAGAGAATATCCATCAAAAATATAGATGTACGTTATCTTAGACTTAGCAATTTTACCCCAGGAGCAAATATTCTTACACAGTTATGCAAAGATAATATGAACAAGACCGTTCACTGCTGCATTGTTTATAGTAGTGATTTAAATATTTATCATAACAGCAACTGGTTATAGAATATCCATACAATGGAGTACTCTGCAGCTGTTAAAAATGAGGTAGTTCTGTTTCTACTAATGTGGAAAGATCTTTAAAATACATGGGAAGTACTAAAAAGCACAGGAATGGAAAAAAAGAATAGTGTGTATAATATCCCACTTGTATAAGGAAAAAAGAATGATGTGTGTGTGTGTGTGTGTGTGTGTGTGTGTGTGTGTGTGTGTATAGGTCCACAATCTCTCATCTAAAATCTTTGGGACCAGTTATGTATTGAAATCAGATTTTTTTCTTTTTTTTTGGAATTTAGATAGTGTTTTGGAATTCAGTTTTTTTTTGAAGGAGTTACAAACCCAGAGAGCAGTTAAATCATGAGCAGCAACCTGTAATAAAATATACCAATATTTCTGCAATGATAAGTACTTACAGAATAAATCATGGGGGGAAGGGGCAAGAGTAAGGGGATATTTACATTAAACAAGATGGGAATGAGTTGATAAGTATTGAAGCTGTTTGGTGGGTGTATGAGATTTCATCATGTTATCAACTTTTATATCTGTTTCAAATGTTCCATAATAAAAAGCTTTAAAGTATTTCTGGAGTGAATGTAAATATGCATAATAAGGGGGACAAAGTAGGATTAAAAAAAAAAAAAGCCTCACGTCAGTCAAGGTCAGGTTTTGCTGCCAAATGAATTACAGAAAATCTTTCAGTTTCCAGAGTGTTTTGGATTTGGGAATTGGAGAGAAGTGACCTGATACTCCACAGTATACTATATAACAATACAAAAAGTTTACTCCGACTAGTTACTTTCTCATACATGGGACTGGGTGTTAGGGTACAGGTGATGTAGAAGACGAGAGAAATTTTTGCTTTTTTATTTTCTACCTTTTTGTACAGCTTGAATTTTTAGCTTTAAATTAAAAAAAAAAATTAAATGGAAAAAGTCACTGTGAGCTATTTGTCATGTGCTATAAGTTCGCCTATTTTTTTGGAAAAAAAAGTTTATTGGATAATTAGTATGTGCTATATATTTTAAGAAGCCTTGGTGGTGCAGTGGTTAAGAGCTCGGCTGCTAACCAAAAGGTCAGCAGTTCAAATCTACCAGCTACTCCTTGGAAACCCTGTGGGGCAGTTCTACTCTGTCCTACAGGGTCGCTATGAGTTGGAATTGACTCGATGGCAATGGATTTTTTTTTTTATACTTTAAGTATTAAAAATATTATAAAACATATGCACAAACATATACATATATGATCCATTATACACTTTGTTAGTGAATCTCTTCACAAAACTTGTTATGTGGAACAGATAGTACCATATAGTATACTATTAAATACTCAAGTGTGTAGTTCACACATTTTTGATAGTTAACCCTGTACTGACTTTTAGTATAGGATCCAACTTTTCTTCCAATTTTAAGGTTTTAAAACTCTCAGTGACTTAGGTAATGAAAAAAACTCAGTGGATTTAGAAGTGCATTTTAAGAGAAGCAGAAATTGAGCCAGATGTTGATACCTGGTGTCATGGGTTGAATTGTGTCCCCCCAAAATGTGTGTCAACTTGGCTAGGCCTGATTCCCAGTATTGTGTGGTTGTCCACCGTTCTGTGAGCTGATGTGATTATCCTATGTGTTGTAAATCTTAACCTCTGTGATGTTAATGAGGCAGGATTAGGGGCAGTTGTGTTAATGAGGCAGGACTCAATTCACAGGATTAGGTTGTATCCTGAGTTAATCTCTTCTGAGATATAAAAGATAGAACGGGCAGAGAGAAGGGGACCTCATGCCACCAAGAAAGAAGCTCCGGGAGCAGAGTGCGTCCTTTGAACCTGGGATCCCTGCGCCGAAAAGCGCCTAGACCAGGGGAAGATTGATGACAAGGACCTTCCCCCAGAGCTGACAGAGACAGAAAGCCTTACCCTGGATTTGGCGCCCTGAATTCAGACTTCTAGCCTCCTAAACTGTGAGAGAGTAAACTTCCGTTTGTTAAAGCCATCCACGTGTGGTATTTTTGTTATAGCAGCAGTAAAGTTAACTAAGACAGCTGGATGGCATTAGAATGTCTAGGATACAGCCAAGCAGCATTAGAAGGAACCTCAGCCACAGTATGGAGGTGGTGGGAGAAAGCATGGTGGTTTCAGAGAACAACAAGGTGACTTGAGAGAGGAGTTGAGTTAGTGAGCAGTGGGGAGTTTTAAATAAGGTGGAGTCAAGTAGTGGAAGTACTTCAAAACCAGTTTCTGACCAGGGAGCTAATATGATGAAAGTCATGTTTCAGAAGATTAATCTGGTAGTGAAGAGCCTGGGATGGGTGTAGCTTTCATCTTTAAATCAATGAGCAGGTAGTGATTTTAAAAGTGAACCTCAGAATAAAAAGCTGGCCAGGCTGTTTACCTTGACTGTGGAAAATCTCCCAGACAGATCACCTGTCTTTTCATCGCGTGAGTTTCCCTACCTAATTCATTTCATTCCTCGGTTTCAGTTTCTTCCTCTGTAATTTCTTCTCAGCTGCTTCCTTGGAAATACCTAAAGACATAAAGTTAGGTTTATGCGGTTCTGTTCTCTGCATGTACTGCATTGATTTTGTACCTGGTGCTGATGTTTTACTATAAAACTATGAAACATTTTCCACTTTAAAAATGTTGCAGAATGTTAATGTGTCTTTACTTTCAATTCTGCCAGTAACTTGACCAGGTACTGATTCTTGATGTGAGTCCCTGTTTTAAACCAAGTATGCTATGTTTTCCATTCTTTTGCCATGTGCTGTATTAAGACAGAGAACATGATTTATTTAAGAGCTTTTACCTCAAAGTGTTATTTTTCTATTTACGACGGTAAGGTTTTCAACACTTCAGAGTCAAAAATAAGTCTGGCACCTAACAAGTCGGTCTAATTGTGAAAACTGTTACAATAGTCATTCTCAAGTTCATTACTATATATTATCAGTAGATTATTATGTTTTCAGAGGAGAAATTTTCCTTCTAAAGATATACAATTAGAACAAATGGCTTTATGTATCACTTTTTAAAGGTTACAGTCTGCCTCACCCCTTGGTGATTCAAGTCCAACAGATCTAAGGAAAGATACTACCACAGTAAACTGCAGGAGTGTAAGTACACTTGTAAGTAATAATATTCATTCAATGAATGACCAATAAAATTTGCTCCTAGTAGGGAAAAGAAGCCATCCTGTGAAAAACAAATGAATTCTTTCCAGCCATTTGGTGATTTTTAAGAGGCAAGATAGAATAGAGGTGGGTAATGAAGTCGCTGAAACCATATGCCTGGGTCCAAATTGTAGCTCAGACACTTACTGCTAAGTAGCCTCAAGCTCATTACTTAAACTCTCTGTTCCTCAATTTCCTCATCTGTAAAATAGAGATAATAATAGCACCGATCTGTTAGAACAGTGTGAGAGCTAAGTGAGTTTATACAAAACAAGCAAACAAATAAAAATAAAGCAGTACCTGGCACACAGTAAGTTCTCAATCAGTGGTAGCTGTTATTGTTATTCTTATTTTCATAGGTTCTAACTCAGTGGATTGAATGTACTGGTTGTGGTCTGGAAAAAAAGTTTAAATAATATAAGCCACAAATAAGAACATATACTATTTAGTCAATTGAAAAAATACTAGCTACATGAAATGCATTTGTACATATACAAAAATGACTAAACATAGTGTTAAACATCTGGAAGATTCACATACAGTATAATTCTGATGTAGCACAGACAACAAAAAGCTCTAAAGTAGGTGTATAAATTAAGTGGTGTAAGAATATAGGAAAAACGAAAAATTAAATCTGACCAGGGACCAAGGGAAATTGAAAGTACAGATACTGTATTTGTATTTTTATCCACATATCTTGAATCTTTTGGTATGCTATTTATTCATTTATTTAGCAAATGTTTATTGTGTGCCAATTTTGTGCCAGGCAGTATGCTAGAAACAGGAATTCAAGTCATTGTAATAAACACGTGTCTCCAAATAGTGTACATTATGTAGGCATTCTATAAATAAAGTGTATAAACTTAATAACACAATATAGGTAAATTATTTCTTAGTATTTTGGTGAGCTTCATTGAATATTAGAGTGTTTGGCCTGTAACTGTATAAAACAGAGTTACTGTTGCTTGCCCTATTAACTATGTAAAGAACTTTTTGGTTAAAGCACCAAGTTTAATCTGTTCCCACTCCAAAGCAGTATTTCCCATTGTAGTTTCATATGAGGTATAGTTTTGCCATCGTTTTAAAAATATGAAAATAACTTTAATCCAAAGCAATTTGGTCATGAACTTTTCCTTCTTAATCCAAAACTTTTTCTTATAGTATGTACCTTTAGATATGGTTGTTAAGACTATAGATTTTGGAGTCAGATAAACTAGGGTTAGAATCATGGCTCCAACACCTCAGGCCTCAGATTCCTGACCTGTAATACAGCTGTGTCACAGTGTTTCAAAAGCGAAAGGAGAGGATGCGTGCGGAGTAGTCTGTAAGTACTAGCCGCCATGGGCAGTGGTGATGCCAGTGGCAGGCCTATATCCGGTAACTGCTTGCTACCAAAATAACCAAACCCATTGCCGTCGAGTGGATTCCGATTCAAAGTTACCCAATAGGATAGAGTAGAACTGGTCCATAGGGTTTCCAAGCAGCAGCTGGTGGATTTGAACTGCCAACCGTTTGATTAGCAGCTGAACGCTTAACCACTGGTGCCACGAGGGCTTGCTAACCCCCAAAAATAAACCCGTTGCTGTCAAGTCATTTTGGACTCATAGTGACCCTATAGGACAGGGTAGAACTGCCCCATAAGGTTTCCAAGGAGTGACTAGTGGATTTGAACTGCCGACCTTTTGGTTAGCAGCTGAGCTCTTAACCACTATGCCACCAGGGTTTCCAGGGCTTGCTAAGAGTTTATTTCATTCACGTAGGAACCTTACTAACTATTTATTATTCTGACTGTCTTTTCAGGTATCAGATAAGGAGTTGATTCCACAAAGCCCTTCTGAAATACAGGAGCTAGAAGCTATAAGGCAAAACCAGAGCACTGTTGCTCTCCACGGTAACGAACCACTCCTCAGTAAGTTTTCGTTGGCAACTGTATGCCATTTTAGTTTTTTTAAAAAAAAAAATACCTTCTTCTTAATCACCAGATTCTCAGGCACAGGAGACTTCTAGAGAAGCAAACAGCTTTAAAACTAAAATTTTTCCGTTTAGAATTCTAAAATAGAATAATCACACTCTTGATTTTTAAATGAATGTTACTTAATGAACTAGTCATTAAAAATTCAGTTATCACCTGATTCAGTTATGGGTAATGTTAAATACATACAATTAAAAAAAAAAAGAAGATATTTCTATCTAGGAAGAAAATGTCCATTCTCAAGGAATTTCCAAGGATTTTTTAAGAATGCAAATCATTAAAAGCTTAAGATGCAATCATTCATCTTAATAATGCTTATGCAAAGTCCAAACTGAGTAAATTGAAATGACACCATTTCATGTCCGCCATAACTGATATTGATTGCTCTACTGAAAATGTATGTTAAAGACAATCAAAGGACTAGAAGGAACCTGGGTATCGGCTTCACACAGAGCCACACACTAATCATCTCATTCTGTTGTACTTTGAAAGATATCTAGAAAACTTTGGTTAATCTTTATCTGTGTTTTCACTTTCATTTTCTAGAACCTCTTCTTTATCTCTAACTTAAATTCTCTTTCCATGGTTCCTTCTTATTTCCTTTTTCAATAAAAAATCTGGTTAACCACCTTTTATAAGAAATTTTTAGAAGATGGTGCTTTTGTCTGTCTTCTTTTTTTCGAATTAAACAAATAAAGTTTTGTCACAAGACAAATTAAAGTTAAATTTCTCCCTCCAGACTGTCCCCCAGCACACGTCAACCCCAGCCCCCGACTTCCACCTCTCTGGTTGTACCCTTTAGCAGCGTCATTTTCTATTAGAAAACTCATAGACTAGCTCAGTTCTGTGCATCAAATGAGTTAAGTGCAATTTATTTGACAGTAGATTGTTATAAAAATAAGTGACCCATTTAAAAACATACCAGGCTTTTGCGATTTAAGACATATAGTTGGCCCTCAAAAATCCGCGGTAAGGAACTCTAGTCTTGCTTTGCCATTTTTTATGATAATCATTTTATAACCTTCAAATGTGTGCATGTATGAGTTTATTGAGCACCTTTACTTACACAGCCCTGTATTTTAATTCAATAGATGATGGTGGCCAATTGGATTTTGATGCCCTGTGTGACAATGACGACACAGCCATGGCTGCGTTCATGAATTACTTAGAAGCAGAAGGGGGCCTGGGAGACCCTGGGGACTTCAGTGACATCCAATGGACACTCTAGCCTTGGATTTTTAACTCTAAAAATGAGAAATGTTTTAAAGCATTTCATTTACAAGAAACTGTATGTTCTTCAGTACTGTACTGATACCGTTTTTATCTTTTATTTCTATTAATGCTCTACCAAATTTTATAGATTTGCACCTTACTGTCACAGGCGTATGGAGAAATATGTTCTCCTCCCACTAGAACATCTCAGAGTTTATTACAGCCCTCTTTACTCAGTGAAATGGCTTAAAACCCACTAGTGGCTATATTTTTGCTAAAATATTTTTAACCAAGAATATCACATACATATTGTTTTGGTTTTGTTTTTATTTTTGATGTAATTTTTGACTTTGAGAAATTTAATATATTGACATTTTCCTTGTGTCTTAGATTCATTTATAATAGTAGATCTGTGTTATTTGGACCATTTCCATTCCTTGCATATTTCATTCCTAACTGAGGGTAGGGCTTACACACTTTAGGAAAACGGTGAGTACTTGAACATTTAAAAGGACAGTGCAATTTATAGTCCTAATCACAATGAATATTGTATTCCATCTTTGTAGACTTGGGCAAGAACAGAGCTAGGATATTTATGCTCAGTTGAACAGTTCAGGATGGTTTTTAAGTGAGAAGATTTTTTTATATAAAACTCAGGAAAAAAAGTTGTGTTTCAACTTTACTTACAGAAAAGAAAGAGCCATCTTGTGCCCTAAATCTTGGTAATATAAAATTTATTCTTAATATAACCACTTAAGATTTTCATTATAGGTAGGTCAGGTTTTTGATGCTGAAAAGGTGTATTTAGTGATGGATTAGTTCTACAGGAAGAAACAGGCCCAGGCAGATCAAATGTCCTGTGTAAAGTCACACATTAAATTATATATATTTTAATGTTTAATATATATAAAACAATTTCTTTATACACATTTGGGAAAGCAGCAGTCTCACTGGTTAAATGATTAATTAACTGACTCAGGAATTAGTTGTGGCCTTCTAGATTATTAGGCAAATATAGTCATCATTGCATGTAATGGAAGGTAATGATATAAACGGTAAGTACATTTTTAAAACCATGAGGCAATGAGAAATAATTTAAAAACCAATTATCTTGCTATAATTAAAAATTCGCAGAACATTTTTCAACCAGTAATTAATCCAGTGGTGGCTCAAATTCAGTATAAGAATTAAGAATATTTAGAATGCTGTTTATCTACCTTTTCGACGATCATGCTTTCATAATACCGTATTAATAGCTGTTAATAGTTTACCAAGTGTGTTCCCATATATTCCCTTTTGTGCCTCACAAATGCAAGTCAGATAGACTGGGAAGCTAATGGGAGAAACCCTGAGGCTCAGATGTGGGGTTCAAATCCAGTTTTCTTTCTCTATATGGTGCTGTACCTTTCCAGCAAATTTCCCTCAGTGCCCCTCTCCAAAACAAAGCATTATTTTGTCTCTGCATGATTAGGCTGTAGGTGATAGGTTAGAACTTTCATCGGGCATTTTAATAGCAAATATACCAAAAGGCTATAACCGAAAGCAAATGTTCTTCAAGCATGAAATCTGCAGTGAACACGTAGGCAAGGATATACTGGCACACTGTACTCTTGAGCTAATACAGTGTTCGTGGTTCTGATACTTGAGGCCTCAAGAGACACCAGGGTGTAGAATAAGCCAAAAAAAACCTCTGGAAGTTGGGGATTGGTTTACAGGAGTCTAAGCATTATGATTAAGTCTGAAGAAACCTGAAAGATCACTTCTGTTCTCTAAGTCAAGTAGAGGGGCCTGTTACCAATATAACATTTTGGGGGACTAAACCACACATAGCAGGTTGGCCTCCAGGTGGTCTACACAAGCCAGTGGTAGCAGGATAGGTCATTGTGGTTGGATGGCCTCAAAGGCAGGCAGGGCAAATCTTCATGATGCAAGGATTAGAGAGACAGTTTCTAGAAGTAGACCATTGCTGCTTTGTACAGAAACAGTTTTTTCTCTTTACAAGAGGAGGGGTTATTTCATAGAGCAATGGGCAAATACGCAACTATTTGAATGTCCTCTGCATGGTTTGATCATTTATTAGGCACTCAAATATTTTCTGTAGGTCTTCTTGCCTTGGCCTCAGAATACAGTATTCATGCATTGCATGATACTGTAGCTCTCCCAAGTTTACTGTTCTCAAAGTGCATCTAACTATAAACATTTGATTACTGTTACAAGCAATAGGTATTTTTATGACGTATGCTAAATGTTACTTTTTCTCCTACAAACTGATTTCATGCATTTTGGTGGAAAATAGTACATCATAAGAAAAGCACTCTCATTCTTTTTCATTTTTTTTTAAGCTTTAGAATTATTGCTATAATAATGCTGTTTTGTTGTTAGGTGCCATCGAGTTGGTTCCACCTCACAGTGACCCTGTGTATAACAGAACAAAACGTGGCCTGGTCCTGTGCCATCCTCACAATACTAGGTATATTTGAGCCCATTGTTGCAGCCACTGTGTCAACCCATCTTGTTGAAGGTCTTCCTCTGTTTCACTGATCCTCTGCTTTACCAAGAATGTTGTCCTTCTCCAGGGGTTGATCTCTCCTGATAACATGTGCAAAGTAAGCAAGGTGAAGTCTCACCACCCTTGCTTCTAAGGAACATTTTGGCTGTACTTCTTCCAAGACAGATTTGTTCACTCCTCTGGAAGTCAGTGGTATATTCAACACCATAATTCAAATGTACCAATTCTTCTTCGATCTTCCTTTTTCTCTGTCCAGCTTTTGCATGCACTTGAGGTGATTGGGTCAGATGTACTTGGTTATTAAAGTGACATCTTTTGCAGTAGATTTGCCCAGTGCAATATTTATCATTTGATTTCTTGACTCCTGCTTCTGTGGGCATTGATTGTTGATCCCTGCCCTTTGTACAGTAAATGTAATGGAGTAGAATGAAAACTCAGAATTCTAATTCACAGAACTGGAGCAGTAGGGTGGGACTCTAGAACTGCACTGTCCAGTATGATAGCCACATGTGGCTATAGAGCACTTGAAATATAGCTAGTACAAATTGAGATAAGCTGTAAATTAAAATACAATGTGGATTTTGAAGACTTAGTATAAAAAAAAGAATGTGAAATACCACATTCAATTTTATATTGATAACAGGTTGAAATGATAATATTTTGATATATTAGGTCAAATAAAACCTTAAAATTAATTTCACGTGTTTTCTTTTTGCTTGTTTAGTGTGGCTACTAGAAAACTTAAAATTACTTATATGGCTGACATTATTGCTATTGTACAGTGCTGCTCTAGAACATTTTATTATTAACCAAGTATTATTGAAGTAGACCAAAGGATTATGCCATAAATGATGTTTACCTCTAAATACTGTTGTTTAAAGAACTAGTATTTATTGATCCTTGATTCAATACAGCCACGTGACTGTGAACCTCTACTCATGTACCAAATTTGAAACTTTTTTTTAAAGTTAGTAACACTTGAAAAATGGTATCCTTTTATTACATGATAGTAGCCAGAAATTGGATAAAATTTGAAGTATATATTGACCCGATATGGTAGTCCCTAAATTTGAAAATCCATTGAGAAACAGAAAGACACATGGGAAAATACAGACTAGAGAGACTTTCAGTAAACAAATGTAATAAAGGTAAGTGTTTATTTACAGTGTAGAAAGAGGGAAAGGCTATATTGGTTGTCAAAGTCTTTGAAGAATCTCTGTAGGGTCTGGGGCACACGTATATGAAATAGCCAATGGCTAGTTACTAGACTTTGTTTATTGGTGTCCAGTTATGAACCCTACCTTAAAGAGTTATCTACCGCGCAGGTAGATCCTCTGCTTTACCAAAAATGTGGTCCTTCTCCAGGGATTGATCCTGCCCAGCAGAGTATTATGGGCAGAATAGGGCTAACATCTAGAATTATCAGAAGCCATAAAGAAAACCTGCTAAGTGTCCACTAGGTGCCACTTTTCCCTTTCTAAAGTACTTTGTTTTCATTAGTAGATTAATTTTTCCAAGCTACCTGGAGCCTATGAGAGACGTGTGAATTTTGTTCCTAGATTAAGTCTGCCTCTCTAGTATTTCTGAGTTTAAAAATTCACTGAAGGTTCTTAGAGTAACGTACCTTGTGTGAGTTGTTTTATAAGAAAATGCTTTCTGACAGAAGTTTGGGAAGATCATTCCCTTTGGCTTAGGGAGCCTTTCCAGACGCGGCCCCAGTTAAAGCTGGCCTTAGAAAGAAATCCTGGTCAGCCTGGAACCTGGTGTCTGACCTCATCGCTGTTGGGGGTGTATGGTGTACGTGTGTCATTGCTCATACAGTCTTGAGTTTAGGTTTGTCTTTTATACAATTTTAGCTCTTTTCCAGTTCATTTGCACTGTATATTGGTATTTTTTAAATTTTGTGGTAAATAATGAAAAGAGTAAAATTAAACTATATTTTATAGTAATTACTAGTTCGGAGTTTTTTGTTTAGTGTATTAAACAAATGCAAAAAAGCATGTCCTTAATTATTTTTTAATGTGGAAACATAGATTAGTGAAAAGATCCAGTGCCCTCGGACCACTGGGCAGAGAGGGGCATTGAACTATGTTACTGTATACATTTTAGGGTGTATTTATCAGGGTAACAGCTGTAATGACCTCCAAATCTCTATGGCATCACCCAGTAAAGGTTTCTTTCTGGCTAACATCACAGTCTGATGTCATCACTGCTATCTAGCTCTTCCTTCCTCCCTGTCTCTTCCTCTCTCCATCTCTCAGCTTTGCTTTCCTCTAAGCTGGTTTTATCCTCAGGTAGGCCTTCTTCCCTCAGAAACTCCAAGCATAAATTGTTCTTATACCTGATAATCCCAAGTGGAAAAAGAGCTTCTATATTTCCTAGGAATTCACACAACAATGTCCATTCTTTGGGTCTCTGAATCAACGTGGTTCACATTGCCTTCCCTGTAGCCAAGAGGTTGGAATATACAGATTGGCCAGGCTTTGGTCACATGCCCAAACTTGGGT